TTAAATAGAAAATGGTAGAATGTGTAATTTAAAAAATTTTTAAGTCAATAAAAAATAATGTGGGTGGGAGAAAGAAGAAACATAAAGAATGTGAGAAAGCCTTTACGTTTCTATCCAATCTTATGAATACCACAGAATCCTTATTGTAGAGAAAACCTGGAGCTAAGGAAAAAATAAGGCACTGTTTACAAATGTCTCCACTTGGAGGAAACATCTTGTCATTTACTATCAAAGAATGCACAGTATAAGTTAAGGACATGAGTATCGAGTTTCCACAATCAAAATAGTGTCTAGATGCTTCAGTTTTATTTGACATGGTAAAAACAAATAGACATTAGAGAGAATTTGAAATTAATTTTACATGATTTGTGACCTTAACATTGTGCTATCCTGTTATATTTTAAGCAAAGTTTTTGAAAATGGCAGATAATGCTGAACATTGAAGACCTTGTATTCCCAGGCAGAGTATTATGGTCCAATAAAATAAAAGCCATTATGTTAGATATTATAAATTAATATATTTACACACAAATGTATTTTTATATATAGATAGATAGATAGAATCATACCTGCAGGAAACTCAGTAATATTCCCAGTACTGTAGCTTTCTGAAGACTCTACAGTATTTGTAGTTTAGTATGGAAATTAATTCAGTCTGTCTTGCTTTCAAAGGATTCTCTGACAGTTTGTTTCAATAGTTGCTGCATGAGAGCTGATGAGCCCACCGTATATCATCAAGGCATCATTAGTATTAGTTATGCTATTATAATTAAAGCCTCAGGCAAAATTCAAGAATGAAGTCAAATGGTTGATTTGCTTTTTTACTGAGTAGCACTAAGAATGCACTTCAGTGTAAAGTAGGAGTGCTTCCTGCTAAGTCAAAACAGCCAATCCTGACTATTTGAAATGAACCATACTTTCAGTTGATCACTAATGAGATGCATTTTGGTAGATATTGTTGAATTTTGTTAATACAATTTCTGTGTGAAAATTAAATGAAGACAAAGAGATGTGAACAATTATCTTTAAAAGGTATAACTATCTGTGCTAGTCCATGAATTTCTTAAAATTTTAGTGTTGCTCTTTGGAAATGGTTATAATGACATCCAACTTGTCTATTTATTTTAAAAATCCTGTTTCTTTAATTCTTTTCATGTGCATTTTGACTAGAATACATTGAGTTCATTTTATAAAAATTTTAAAGCTGCATATAAGTAGATGTTTTAACAAATAAAGCATATATTTAGCGTTATAACATATAAGCTGTATGAAAAATTATTGTCTGCCCTTGAAACAGAAACTCTCACATCTTATTTCAGCTGATGATAGGTGAAGGCTAAACAAGGATAATCTGATAAATCGGGGCATTGGGTTTTCCCAGGGATCTGTTCTGTGGGGGCTTACCCCCAAATAATTTTCATGATCTCTTTATTAGAGATTGAATGATGTATTTGAGACATTATGATAAATATAATGAAATATATGTGGCATTGCTATTGTATTCCTAATCTATGAGCATTGATGTATTTAAAAATAGTCACCATTTTTCTTTTCTTCTACCCCACACACTTTGTGGGACAGCTTAACACTTAGGTTTGTCTTTTCTTATGCAACAAAAGAAAGGTGTAAATGTGAGACTCTGGTAAAGTTTAGGACTAAGAGAACATACAGGAGTGCTTGCATGTTTGTGTACCTTCTGACATGTAAGGAAACAGATGACCACAGATAAATTCACAGAGGTTAATGTGGGAGTGAAATGCCTCTGCTGTGATAAAATGCCCCAAAAATAAAGTGAGGAGGCTTTTTTGCCCCACACTTTTTGAAGTCTTTGATCCTTACATATTTGTTTCTCTTTATATGGCTTATGGAAATAAAATGTAGGAGTCTGGTAACCATGGGCAGAGGGAACAGTTCTCATTCAGAAGGAAGGGGAGAGCAGGAAGCAGAAAGATTGAGCTAGAGATAGAAAAGGACTTTCTGAGGGCAGAGACAAAATATGTGCTTAATTGTTGTCACTTAGTGCTAGGATCCACAGATGAGGGAGGTCTTTTGTTTCTCTGAGTCTGTGTTACTTCACTAGGTATAACAGTTTCTAGATGCATTCATTTACCTGCACATTTCATTATTTCCTCTTTCTTTACTGCTGAATTGCAGTATACAGTATAAATGTACCACATTTTCATTAACCAACTGTCAGTGGAGGGGAAAGTAGATTGCTTCCATTTCTTAGCTTTTGTGAAAACAGCAGCAACTAACATGGTTGTGTAGGTATCTCTACTGAATTATTCTACAGTATCTCTACAGTAGGATGAGTTCTTTGTGTGTATGCTAAGGAGCAGTATAAAAGGATCATATGCTAGATCCATTTTTATTTTTTACAGAGGTCTCCACACTGCTCTCCATAATGGTTGTATGAGTTTGCAATCCCACCAACAGTGAATGAGAGTTCCCCTTTCTCAACATCCTCACCAGCATTTGGTATCATTTGTTCTCTTGATCCTAGCCAGTCAGATTGGGGTAAGGTGATACCTTCGATGTAAAGTTTTAAGTTGTATTTCCCTAACTACTAAAAGTGTTGATCACTCTTTAAGATGTTTCTACCCCATCTTTATTTCTTCTTTCGAGAACTCTCTGTTTAGATCTTTAGCTCATAGTTGTTGTTATTTTTTTAAATAAATTGTTAAAAAAAAAAAAAAAAGACTTCCTAGTTTACTGGGCTTTCAGATACCAGTATTTTGGTTAATGATTTTTTTGCAGTTTTTCTGACGTTTTCATTTTAACTTTTTTCCTTTATGAAATTTAAAAATATATACAAATACAAATGCAATAAACAACACAAAGACATGCATACTACAATTGATCTTAATAAAGCACTTATTTTTCTAATGCAGTTACTCTTAAAACATGTAGAGGGGGCTGGAGAGATGTTTCAGCAGTTAAAAGCACTGACTGCTCTTCCAGGGTACCTAGGTTCAGTTCTCAGAACCCACATGGCATCTAGCAGCCATCTGTAATTCCAGTTCCAGGGGAATCCAATGCTCTTCTCTGGCCTCCTCGGGGTTTGCACAACACAGATACACTTAACTACATGCAGGCAAAATACTCATATCCTTAAAATTAAATAAAATTTTTTATAAACAGAGAAATTTGAATTAAAATGGCAAAAGGAGTAAAACAACTACAAATATTTATAATTATTCTTTCATTTCAAAAATTATCTGTTATCTTGGCTAAAAGAGACTTTCTGTATCTATCAGTGACTTCTTCCTGTATCACAGAAATAACTTAGCATGTCTTACAAAATCCGTGT